AAGCCTGACAGTAATGACGTCATCAGTCAGTCGGTCCGACCTCATTTGAAATCGTTCGCACTCTCGAAGCCATCCCGCGCTTTCGGTCTCGAACCACCGTGGAAATCCTTTCTTCGACCGATCGAGGATACCCGCCTCCTTTTGCCAATTTATTTCCTGTCGATTCCCATCTCCGATCTGACGCTCGATTCCTGGCGAGCTATTTTCAGAGACGAGTCCTCGCGCGGAAAAATAACGTCGGCGTTCCGAGTCTCGGATTATCGTCGCGACGTAGCGAGGGTTTCTCCAACAAATTGTCCGGTAAGCGGACAAAGAATCGTTAGGGGACAACCTTATCGAAGGTATCGGTCGGTAGCGGCGAACGACATATCCGTTTTCCCAAGTAATCTCGCGGCGCTTCGGGCGATTCTCAAACAATTCTATACATCTCCCGAGTGTCGGAAGTGGCTGCAGAGTGGCAAGGATAGGAAGAGGAGACGCGTAGAAAGAGCGAGACGGTAGTCGGGAGAAGGCTAAGCAAGAAGGGCACGAGCAAAGGAGAAGGAGGATTGTATAGAAAGGCGAGCGGGTAGGTGAAACAGACAATACACCTTCGCGGTGGGTGGCTTATCTAAGAGTCCATGGCGTAGCCCCGGGGGTGCAGTAATAACCGGGAGGGCGGGCTGATACCGGGCTAAGAAATGATAACGGCACTCGCAAGCCAGCCACCATTTTCGAGTTATATTGCCTCGAAAGCCAGAAGCGGCAGAGGAGAGGAAAGGAGAGGAGAAGAGAGTCGAGCAGAAAGATAGAGGAAGAGAGAGATACTTCGGCTATATCACCTTCCTCCTCCCCCGCCATCTCTTCGCTCTTGTACGCCCTTCTCTTCCTCCTGGATGCCTCGTCCTCCTCCTCTTCTAATGCACCTTTCTGCCGGTACCTATAACCTCTCGTAGTCGTTGCTGGAATCGGCCGCTATCTGGGCCCACACCTCCGTGTACCTCGTTCCAATGCCTAGAGAAACGTTTCACCTTCAAGTAGAAACCTTCGTCGTTCCGATTCGCCCCCGAGGGAATAACGGGGCAGAGATGCATCGGTTCCGATGCACCGCCGATATTCGATTCCTTCGTGCGACCCATGAATTTTCAGCTAGCTGCATCTTCGATGGAACCCCTGGGTATTTGCGTCCCGTGTAATCGCTGATAGCGCCAGGCTAAAAATGACCCCGTTAAGGACGCCCCTTTGGCTTCGCTCCGTTTACGACTTCTTGGACCGGATGTTGCCTCCACTATGGTCACCGTTTCCTCCGCCGATTCGCCGTACCAATCTCCTCGCGTCCTCTTAATTATTAGCTACGAGTGTATCGTAGTCTCGTTAAAAGCTTCGGTGCAAAGTCGATAAACGAAAGATACTTTTATGAACGTGTACGTAATAAAAACACAGGACACGAAACGGCGAAGGATACCCCACGGAGGGAAGATCAAGAAGTAGGCGGGAAAGGGACTCACCCCTCGGATTCGGACAGACAAAGCCACAACGTGACCAATCTCGTCCGTGTTGAACTGCGGTTTGAACGAATGTTTTGCATTTTACTCCTGCGGGCTAATTTATGTGAGAGAAACGCCACCCTCGTTTCACACCCTCTTACCCGACAGCTCGACCGTTTTATTTTCACTTAGACCCGCGAACGAGATTCTCGAACTTCCTTTCCTCGTTCTCGTTCGTTTCGCGCATAAATATCCGACAGCTTCTTTTTAACGAGCTACGCTTCTATTAGGTTTCATTTGGGATAGACCGATAAAAAACAACCCTCGTTATCGTTTATAAAGCCTTTTATGAAGTCTCGCGGTAGGAAACGATTAAAACGGGTGTCAGTCAGTAATTTGTTGCACGGTCAGACTCGCGTGGAGTTGAAATTAATGCGAGATTCAGTGGCGGGTCGGTGGCGTGCGAGCGAAGGAAGAGAGAGATACTTCGGCTATATCACCTTCCTCCTCCCCCGCCATCTCTTCGCTCTTGTACGCCCTTCTCTTCCTCCTGGATGCCTCGTCCTCCTCCTCTTCTAATGCACCTTTCTGCCGGTACCTATAACCTCTCGTAGTCGTTGCTGGAATCGGCCGCTATCTGGGCCCACACCTCCGTGTACCTCGTTCCAATGCCTAGAGAAACGTTTCACCTTCAAGTAGAAACCTTCGTCGTTCCGATTCGCCCCCGAGGGAATAACGGGGCAGAGATGCATCGGTTCCGATGCACCGCCGATATTCGATTCCTTCGTGCGACCCATGAATTTTCAGCTAGCTGCATCTTCGATGGAACCCCTGGGTATTTGCGTCCCGTGTAATCGCTGATAGCGCCAGGCTAAAAATGACCCCGTTAAGGACGCCCCTTTGGCTTCGCTCCGTTTACGACTTCTTGGACCGGATGTTGCCTCCACTATGGTCACCGTTTCCTCCGCCGATTCGCCGTACCAATCTCCTCGCGTCCTCTTAATTATTAGCTACGAGTGTATCGTAGTCTCGTTAAAAGCTTCGGTGCAAAGTCGATAAACGAAAGATACTTTTATGAACGTGTACGTAATAAAAACACAGGACACGAAACGGCGAAGGATACCCCACGGAGGGAAGATCAAGAAGTAGGCGGGAAAGGGACTCACCCCTCGGATTCGGACAGACAAAGCCACAACGTGACCAATCTCGTCCGTGTTGAACTGCGGTTTGAACGAATGTTTTGCATTTTACTCCTGCGGGCTAATTTATGTGAGAGAAACGCCACCCTCGTTTCACACCCTCTTACCCGACAGCTCGACCGTTTTATTTTCACTTAGACCCGCGAACGAGATTCTCGAACTTCCTTTCCTCGTTCTCGTTCGTTTCGCGCATAAATATCCGACAGCTTCTTTTTAACGAGCTACGCTTCTATTAGGTTTCATTTGGGATAGACCGATAAAAAACAACCCTCGTTATCGTTTATAAAGCCTTTTATGAAGTCTCGCGGTAGGAAACGATTAAAACGGGTGTCAGTCAGTAATTTGTTGCACGGTCAGACTCGCGTGGAGTTGAAATTAATGCGAGATTCAGTGGCGGGTCGGTGGCGTGCGAGCGAAAGAGAAGAGCAGGAAGTAAAAGAAGAAGAAGAAGAAGAAGCAGAAGATAAAGAGGTGGGGGGTATATTTAGCACAAAAAGCCTCTAATTTCCAACGAGGGTGTAAAAACGGGGTTGGCACCCGGGTCGGTGTACGCGGGCTGCTTGTTGGGTCTATAAAACGCCGCTTAGCTTTTTTACCTCCTACCACGTAGCTCGGAAGGGGTGGTTTTAACCCCGTTAAGCTGTTTCCCGTCTTTTCCCGCGTTCCTTTTTTCCGCGGCCGGTAAATTGAGCGCAGACCCTCTTTCCTCTGTCCCGTCCCATCCCAACTCATTCCATTGCGGCACCGGTTACACACGAACCACCTTTTTCCTCTTTTTTTCCACTCGTCGCTTCTCCAACCCTCGATACCCCAATTTTCTTCTCTTTTTACACTGTCCGCTTACCGCACGAACCGTTCGACCCAGATTTCTCTCTCGCCCCGACGATTATCCGTGATTTTACCGTGATTGCTTTCGTACTTTACCTCTCCACTCTTTTTTCCGCTTGGAATACCTCTTTCTCCTTTCAACAGACAATGCCAACTTCGCGGCTATTTTAACGTTTCTCTTAAAATTCTTTTTCGCGAATCCAGTCTCGTTCGTTGACCAAACGCTGCAGAAAATCGAAATGAAAAACGAGACGCGGCGGAACTATGCTCGTTCTTTCCGCCACTGGTTCACGACCGGTTGTTGGAAGTACGAGATTAATAGACGAACAAATTAGCGCAAAGTTTGGGCAGCGGCCCCGCGTGCACCCGCGCTACTAATCCCGTGCATTAAAAGTTAACGTCGGGCTGGCTGGCGCGGCCTGCTGTGTGTGTCCTCCTGGCATTAGATTTCTGAGTTTCCCCGGCCGAGTTAGGGTAACACCAAATCTGCGTTTCAACTGGAAACTACGTTAGGGACAGATTCGAACCGATCCCCTGGCCAGCGGACCGCTGTGTATCTACGTGGCCGGCTGTAGACAGCCCTTTGGCGTCGGAAGTAGTGGCCAATTCGAGGAAACCGGTTCACCGGTGAAAAATTTACTCTTCCTTCGCCAACCCTAATGTTCCGTTTGCTGAAACCTTCGTGGAAAATGTACGATCCTTAATTCATGACCGATAAATTTCGAACGAGTTTCGCACAAAACTTGAAATATCGTGCGACGAGTGGTTGAGATCATTGCTTATTGTCAATTCCGCTATCGATCGTGGAATTAAAAATTGAACGCAAAGTGCATTGGCATCTACTGCTCGGCGAATTTTCGTATTATCGGACGTTGCAGCAGAGTAAGATGTTTAAAATTATAAATTGAACAGGGTGGAACTGTAGCTGACTCGCTCCACGCGCGATATTAATTCTCGGCGTTATCTAAGGTGGCGGCCGCCATTGTAACCGAATATCCTGAACCGCTGGGGGTGAGTAAGAAACTACCCCCAACATTAATCAACCGTCATCTTTGCAGGAAACCGAGCGTTCTCCTATCGCCTTCCCTCGCGTGTTTTTAGTCCCCTTAATAATTCTCTGCTTCGTTGAATCTTTGAACAAGTCGAACGAGCATTACTCGTCTTTGCGAAATCGTTTGTTGTCGAATACGAGAGGTATCGCGGTACAGCTTTCTCGAGAACGAAGCGTTGCGCGATCGAACCGGGGAATATTTGCGCTCGCAAATACCGAGATCCGTGACCTTCGACCTCCAACGGTCGAACGAAACTTTGGCAATGTCTCTTGAAACGAGTTGGGATAAAGGGTCAAGGGTCAAGCGGAAGAGCGTGTTTGGAAGACGAACGTCGGACAATAGACGAATGGGAAGTTGGAGCATCGTGTTTATTTCCATACAGTCGATACAATTACGTAACGGAAAAATTAGACTGTCAGTATCAGCTGGTTCTTGAACCGTCGACGATGTTTCAGCTGATTCTTTGTCCAGTGTTCGGATCGCGGCAACAAAATCGATGGCCCGTGAAAGATGACTGGGTGCAGGGTGGAGATCGATCCTCGATCGCGGCGCAGGGACGTCGATCATCCGAGCCAGCGAGGAAAACCACCGAAGGACGATACAGACGAGGAAACAAGAGGAAGTAAGAGATGGTTTGAATAATGACTCGGTTGGCACGTGGGGGGATGGGGGTTTGCCAGTCGGGCGCGCCATCTTGCCTCGGCTCTCTACTTATAATTATTGATGTGGCCCGAACTTTATATAAACTCGAAACTCGTCTCCCTCGCACCGTCGGTTCGCCACCACTACCGCCACTACCACCGCGACGAGCTAGCACCGGCATCAGCAGCATGGAACCATCTCCGCGTAGCGAGTAGAACCACCCCCCCGAGCCCCGGCCATCCCCTTCCTCCTCCGGCCTCCACCTCTTTCGGTTCCCCAACCAGGCGGCAGGAGGAAATTGTTGGAGTTTTCAAAGTCTGACGTGCAGGATATTATGAACGAGGGTATGGCGTCGTCGAGGAGGTGGAGAAGGTGGTGGAGTAGTAACTGAAAGGGGGTTGGAGGCTCGAGCGGGGGGTGCCGGGAAGCAGCGGGGCTGGAGGTTGGCGAGGTGGAGTGGAGGTACCCAGGCAAAACTACCCGCCTCGGCTCACTCTTCTGCCTCCAGAACCACCCACCAGCCCATTCGTCTAGCTTAAACTATATTCCGACCTAACCTTCGCGTAGGTACCTTCCTTCTACCAACCTTCTATCTACCGGCTCTACCATCTGACAACCGGCCAATACTTGCACCCATGCACCCGTGTACTCTTGGTCGCCTCTCTCGCCTCGTTTGCTTCCTGTCTCGCGATTTTTCTCTTACCCTTCGTCGCACCATGAAATTCTCCGAAACCCTTCTTCGACGGGCCGGCTCGAAAGCCTATCGATCGATCGAGACCTGTCGCTTCTTCGCGGATCGAGTTTTACGCTTTGAGAAAAAGGGAGAAAAGTCGAAGACGATCGGCTGGTATAACCGGCTTCGAGGCTGCGGTACAGCCGGAACACGTGCACGAGTATATATTGTAAAGGGAGAGGCGGTAGGTGAGTGCACGTATATCTATATAGTGTCTACAGGGGGTAGAAGTATAAGCTTTCCTCTCGCAAATGAGGTAATATATATACAAAAGCTAATACGACCGAAAGTTGCCAACTTGGATGAGTCTCTCCTCCACCGACTACACCTCCGCCGCCACCCGGTCGCCACCCTCTGTCCTCCTCGCTCCTGGGCCAGATCCTATAAATATTTTAAAGGATCGCGAGAATATAGTTTACGAGTCGGGCTGGTAACGTTTCGGTTTAAAGATGTTGCGCCGTCGTTGGAAAACTGCATCCCCGTCGATATTAATATCCTCCTTCGAAGCGTCTCGACTGGACCGTGTGTGCAGTCGCCCTTTAACGTCGTGGCGTTCAAAGGGCCCTTAAAGTGACCGTAATTAACCTGTGAGCTGACATTTTAATTTGATGTTGCAGACTACTTTGACCACAGGACGCGAGTCGATCTTCGATAATTCGATTTGTACGGTGTTTCCTCGCTGGAAGTTGACCAGGATGAACCAGACTGCGAATTTCTCCGGACACCGAGTCAAGGGGTTTGTTCGAAGAAAAATCTTGAAGAACGACGGTTTAACGAACGAGGGAACAGTCTTTGCCAGACCCGGCCACGAACAATATATTCCACGAAGCCCAGTTAATCCTATCTTTCGGATCTGAATTCGAGGTTTCCGTTATACACTCGCGGCCGACTCGGTCCGCGCGATCAAAGTGAATTAAATCGCGGGGGTGGAGACGGTATGCGCGACTCTCTCCTCCCTTCCCTTGTCACCCTCCGAAAATATACCAGCAGGGGTAACACGCTCGTTACGACCAATTGAAATTACCGCGATCAAGACGCGGACTAGGCGAGAGGAAACGAACAGAGACACGCTCCGTCGCGAGAATTCCTCGCCTCCAAATGGCCGCAATAAAACCGATGCTTGTATTTTATCGGAAACGTTAACTGCTTCGTAAATCAATCCTGTTACGGGTTCAGTACGACGCTGGACCTTAGAAGACGGTCAAAGACGCGTGCAATATTATTTAGGAGAGTCGATCGAATATATCTCAGACATTTTAATAAAGCCGCGTCTATAAACACCAGAGAAGAATATCAAAGCGTGTATTTACAGTCTGTAGTCTAAAATTATAGGCTCGAACCGCTGGATCTCCGAGACCTTTGTCTCGCGGAAGCGTTTGGGAGTCATCGCGGCGGAATTTTTCGCAATCAGCGAAATGGCGGTGGCGAAGAGGAGTTGGATTGAACAAACACGAGCAATCGGTGCGCGCGAGCGATTCGCGAGCTAGGCGGGAACGAAATGGAGAGACGTGGAATATAATCTATCCTGTTTGAGGAGAACTGGCACCGACTGCAAGTTAGAACAAACTCCCAGTGTACTCTGGGAACGTCGTAGCCGGCAACCAATCCACCGACGTACCACCCTCTTTCACCCTCTCCTTCTGGACGGTCTCTCTTCGTCTGCCACGAGCATCTCTGAAATCGGGTAAAATAACATCTTTCGCGATCTATTTAGACGTGCAGGTATATTGGACGTTTCGAAGAAATCGACTTAGCTCAACTTTCGATCAGAATGCTATGTTTGTTCACTGCTTTTCGATGATAGGTCGTTACAGTAGCCATAACGAAAGGGCTGAAAATATACGGAGTTATAATCGTTGCACGCAGGATCTAGTAACTTTGTAAAATTCCCGAAAATGATCCTTGCGGTTTTCTGTAACTGCGCGATAAAGGTTCTTTTTAACGAGAGATTCAAAAGCTCGGGAAACGAGGGACCGTTTTGACGAGGGAACGTTTAAATCCCGCGATAAGAAGCCCGGGGGTCAGTGGATCCGCGAGCGTGCGATGCTCTAAACGGATTCTTTCCTGCGATGCTTTCTATGCAAACTCGTCGAATTTCAGCGTTGCTCGAGATACTAGGAAACGGGGACTTCGTAACCCGCTACCGATCCATCGATGCTGCGTTCCCTCCCTTTCCGTTCTCACCGATAATTAGATAAAGCAATATCCTGCGACATTAAATAGAAATAGGATTGCCATAATTAATTCAAATACATCCGAGGTTGGATATTTCCAGCGGAAACTGTTCCGCAAATTCTAGGCTGCGATAATCGAATCGAACTTTACTCCCCTCAAGAATTTACCGATTTTATAACTCACGCACGCAATTCTCGTTCAAAGATTTTTTCATTAAATTAAACTTTTCGATAAATAAACGATCCCATGAAATCCTTCGCCTGAATAAACGTCGGTTTCATAAGTAGTTGAAACATAACGAAGAAAAAAAGAATGCGAACTAATCGGAGACAAGTTTGCAGAGGAAATTTAATAAAGCCGTATCTTCCCATATTCTATGGGGTTTTTTCCCCGGTGATCCGGGTCGAATCAAGAAGGCAGAAACGACGAAGCCGGTTGCTCATGAATATTCATTTCTTGCCGGTTTCTTACAGGAGGTCGACACGGGGGTGAGCACGGTACGGAGCAACCAGGGCCGTACTTTTAAGCACGAGAGTGGGGGTTCTGGATCAATGCCGAGGCCACGCCTCCTTCGTCTTACATCCTGCACCCTCTTCCTCGCCCCGTCGCGCTCGCCTTCCTTTCCTTTTGCTTTTCCACCCTCTTCGCTGCCTTCATCCGAGCCCCCGGAAAATCCGCCTCGCGACTGGCGAAGTAAATAGCCGCGAGCCACCAAAGCGTCTGAAGAATCTTAAATATATATTAATATCGCTATTTCACTTTTTTATTTTTTAACCTCATAAAAACTTTAACCTTCAGCGTTACTCGACATTCATTGTTAAAAATATGACGGGAAATGCAGGTTATTGGTATCTCAATCTTATTTACTTTTTAGAAGCTTGTTTCCGAGATAAGAAAACGGTGGACGGAGACTTCAATTGCGAAGTACGAAACTCTCTTCCTTGGATTTTTGCCTTGTATTTCTTTCCTTTTCTGTTCAATCTCTTATGTTAGCATACTCTTCAGAAAAATTCCTTCTATTTTAGTCCCTTGCCGTACAATTTATTTGTCAGATGCGTCAGTCAAAACTGACTATTTATAGGTATAAACAAACAGTAAAACAAACATGTTTCTATAAACAATAAAAATGTGAATATTTTATATTCAGCGATCTTTGATAATACAAATTATATTTGGGCTTAAATTTTAAGTTGAAAAGTATTAAGAATTTTAATAAGATTTGAGCTGTGAGTGCGTCACAAGTGTGACTCGAATTTTTGTTACTCAAAGTTTCCTACGGAGAACCGATATTCGACAGAAAGCAGACTCGCGAAGTATTCGAAAATTCGTCCCCGAAGAAAATTGCTCTCATCTTTATGAACTTGAGAATACTCGAACTTGTAAAAAGATGGAACCGGTAAGATAGAGCTTTGTTATCGCAAGTAGAAGAGACAGCCTCGCGGGCCAGCTTTGTACACCTTTATCACCCAGCGTATCTCATTCCGGTGTTTCTCATCTTGTCTCATCGCGATGCCTCTCGTCGAGCCGCGTTGCGTCGCGTTGCATCTCATCCGAACTCGACGACTTCGTCGGCTGCTAAGTCGCGTTCTACCAACGTCTCCCGTAACCTCTTGCGTCATATCCCAAAGGAAAAGGCCTCGGGCTGTTCTTTCCTTCGAAAAGCGAGACGTAGTTACTGGGAACCAGACCAATCAGACTCGCGAATCTTCCGCGACGTCCAAATCAAACAGCGCGATTAATTACTGCCTGCGTCTCTGCCGGATTCGATTACATTCGGGGCTAATTTTTCTTTAACTAAGGCCCCGTTTTTGTTTACCTACAATCTCAAAGTGGAGCACATCTCTTGAAAGATTAACCGTTTGAATGCGGCACAAAGTTTGTGAGCGTATGCCAAAAATGCGGATAAGTTTGGGTATATAAAAAAAAATATTAATGGAAGTAGATAACTTATTTTTACTTGTAAACCGATAAAGCATATACTTCGCTAGTGCAACCAGCTTAAATTCACATCAAACTGAGAAAAAAAAGTAGGAGCGCAGTGTCTCTCTTCGTAATTTTAACATCAAGCAAGAGAAGCGATAGCGCTCGCCGCATTTTTGGCATATAAACGGAGGAGCACTCAAACGGTTAAATTTGAAAAATAAGTCTTGTGTTTTTACCTAATAATAAAAACAGTTTTTACGTAAAGTCGGTTTTGATAGAAGAGACAGCTGGTGAAAGACGTAGCAGGCGAGATACGTAAAAGGACACACGAGATTTGGTTTCCACGGGCGGTAAGCGTGTCGCGAGTATTTTGCTCATTGTCACGAGGCGATCGATCTAAACCGCGTTGATTGATAATCGAATGTCGGTCAATCGGCGGAGTGGCTCGCATGGACGTTTGCCGCCTCGAACAGCGAGCCTCTTCCGAATGGAAAATCAATAGGGTGAACGAAGAAGGGGGCATGAACCTACGCGTGTACTCTCAAGGGGCCGGAATCATTGTCCGAAGGAATAGAGCATTGACGGTCAGATCGAATCAGCGGGAAATCACCTCCTCCTAAGTATGTCATTTGTGGTTAATGCAGCAGTTCGATTGCCATAACGCGTTGCGCCCAGGGTCGCTGATGATCTCGCGAATCGATCGATCGATCGTTAATCTCATGCCTCCGGCAATTTCATCCTTCGAAATAGTTCCAAATACTTGGGTATCTGGAAAATTGCTCTCCGTATTAATATTAAGATCTCCGTCGAAATATTGAATAACATTTCGAAACATCAAAATGTAAAATTTGTTAGAATTTTCTGTTTGTTACGCGTACTTATGTGCGGGGTTGCTTGCCCTCCGATTGTCGGAGCATCCACCACGCGGCAGCACCGACTGTCTTAGCCTGGTTTCGAACCAACTACCCTCCGATTCGTCCCTGTGGCTTGTTCCCGACGAGCAGCGACGCGCTTCGTTACCCAGGGAGCGGAAGAGTGCTCGACGGGTAATCGAATGCGATCATTCACGCGTACCGCGAAATCACGCGTTACTTCCGCTTCGACCATCGACACCCTGTATAATTACCCGCAGATTCGATGGATCAGCTAACGAATGCCTCCGGCAACTACAACTGATTCAATCGCATCCCATCAATCCCGTCACGAAAAACCAATCAACGTTTATTTAATAAACAAGCAAATTCGATCGATTTTTTCTTCGAAAGATTCCTTTTGGTTTCGTCCAAAAGATGTACACTGAAATAAATGTATTTTCGTTCGCCTTGTTTGAGGGCAATGCTCGTTTCCACTCGCAAATGAAATTTTCGACTCGTTCGAGGCGCATAAACGCGTCTAGACATTCAGGTACGTGTCTTCGAACGTAGCTTTCTCCCAATAGCGGCATTGTGTAATTTATCAATGTAATTTACGGCCGGAGACAGTGGCAGGGAAATTGAAAAACTTTTGCGGCCAATTCAGGCTGCCTGTAATAATAGGAATCAATTTACCGGCGAGAGAGATAATGGACCGGCCGTGGAATTCGATCGAACCTTGACGGCGATCCACTTTTTGTCCCTCCATTCAACTGCATGGAGTATTTTTTCCTCCTCCGATGAACGTCGCTCTTCGAGGCTCTCTCTCCGCGGCCAATAACGGTATCTCGGTATCTCGCGACTCGTATTCGCTGACTCGTACTACTTAAACTCGCCGTCGGACGAGCTGTTCGATTCCTTTGGAGCTTTGGTGTTCGCGGGTAAAAGAGAGAGTATTGCAGAGAGTCGTGCAAAGAAGTAATTTTTTGTTCACGGAGTTTGGGGAGGAATGAAGATAAGATGATCGATAAGAAAGCGAGGCAAGGTAATCCCGTAGATTCGTGGGAGCTAAGACTGCACGAACACCGATACACCGGGAAGTATAACGGCCGGTAGCCGCAGGCAACCCTTAGGAACGTAATTAATATTTATCCCACCCCCGACGGGTCTGTGTACGAGCCGACGGTACCCTCCTTCCCTCTTCATAACCCCTCTAAAATCCCAGCACGCTCCTTGTAAAATCTAATATCTGAGGAAGCGTCGTCGTACCGCTAGTCGGAGTAGTTGGCCCTCTTACTCCTCTTCCTCTTGTTCCACGCCTCTTCCACCCCCGTGGAAGCCAGTGGTTCGTCGCGTAGCACCCCGAGCAAACGCGTAGACGTAGTGCTGGCGCAAGAAGGAAACGGAGCAAACGAAACGTGTTCGTTGCGGATGGGAGGCGGCTGGAAAGAGGGAAAGGGGGAAAGAAGGAAGCTAGGATCGCGGAAGACAGGGGTGGAACGGCCGGGAGAAAGAGAGGAAAGACGCGGGAACGAGGCGCGCGTCCTCGCTGGGGAAGGGAAAAGGACGATAAGAGACGCGCCAGGTGGACCGGAGAAAGAGGGAACGGAGAAGAAACCGAGGCGAAAGCGAGAGAAAACGAACGCGCGAGCTGACAGAGGAAGCAAAAGCCCGGAAGAGAGAGGGAACGAAGCGGAGAGAGCTCTTCCACTCGCAAATGAAATTTTCGACTCGTTCGAGGCGCATAAACGCGTCTAGACATTCAGGTACGTGTCTTCGAACGTAGCTTTCTCCCAATAGCGGCATTGTGTAATTTATCAATGTAATTTACGGCCGGAGACAGTGGCAGGGAAATTGAAAAACTTTTGCGGCCAATTCAGGCTGCCTGTAATAATAGGAATCAATTTACCGGCGAGAGAGATAATGGACCGGCCGTGGAATTCGATCGAACCTTGACGGCGATCCACTTTTTGTCCCTCCATTCAACTGCATGGAGTATTTTTTCCTCCTCCGATGAACGTCGCTCTTCGAGGCTCTCTCTCCGCGGCCAATAACGGTATCTCGGTATCTCGCGACTCGTATTCGCTGACTCGTACTACTTAAACTCGCCGTCGGACGAGCTGTTCGATTCCTTTGGAGCTTTGGTGTTCGCGGGTAAAAGAGAGAGTATTGCAGAGAGTCGTGCAAAGAAGTAATTTTTTGTTCACGGAGTTTGGGGAGGAATGAAGATAAGATGATCGATAAGAAAGCGAGGCAAGGTAATCCCGTAGATTCGTGGGAGCTAAGACTGCACGAACACCGATACACCGGGAAGTATAACGGCCGGTAGCCGCAGGCAACCCTTAGGAACGTAATTAATATTTATCCCACCCCCGACGGGTCTGTGTACGAGCCGACGGTACCCTCCTTCCCTCTTCATAACCCCTCTAAAATCCCAGCACGCTCCTTGTAAAATCTAATATCTGAGGAAGCGTCGTCGTACCGCTAGTCGGAGTAGTTGGCCCTCTTACTCCTCTTCCTCTTGTTCCACGCCTCTTCCACCCCCGTGGAAGCCAGTGGTTCGTCGCGTAGCACCCCGAGCAAACGCGTAGACGTAGTGCTGGCGCAAGAAGGAAACGGAGCAAACGAAACGTGTTCGTTGCGGATGGGAGGCGGCTGGAAAGAGGGAAAGGGGGAAAGAAGGAAGCTAGGATCGCGGAAGACAGGGGTGGAACGGCCGGGAGAAAGAGAGGAAAGACGCGGGAACGAGGCGCGCGTCCTCGCTGGGGAAGGGAAAAGGACGATAAGAGACGCGCCAGGTGGACCGGAGAAAGAGGGAACGGAGAAGAAACCGAGGCGAAAGCGAGAGAAAACGAACGCGCGAGCTGACAGAGGAAGCAAAAGCCCGGAAGAGAGAGGGAACGAAGCGGAGAGAGCTCTGTTTTCCCGGGTTGTTCCTCGAGGGGCGGCGTCAAGACGCTGCAGCTCCGCCAATCGCGAAGCCACCGCGCGATTTTGCGCCGCTCCGATTCGTTGCGATCCGCTTTCTTAGAGGCGTCGCCGCCGCGAAAAAATTACCTGGAAAAAGAGGAAACCGAGCGACGGGGCATGGCCATTGGCTCTCGCGCGGCTTTTCTTCGTTTTTCGCGAACCTTTAAGAGGAGCCAATGGCACGGCCGGATCGCTCTCTCGAAAGGAAAGCGCGAGAAATCGATAAGTTTGACTCTCGGAATCGTTCGTTCCTAACGTCGGCTCCCTTCACGGGAAAACGTCCCTCTGTCCTTCGAATCGCAACCTCCGTTCGAAAGACGATATTTTACTCGATTACGCAAT